TGGTATCTTAAATGCAAAAAGACAATAGATAGACTCGCTTAAGGTAAAAATTGACTTTTATCAAGAAAGCTATAGGCCTAGGACCTGACTACCTGCCACAACTCATTTTTATATTCAGACCATTCTATGTGGTTACTTTTAGTCTCTGAGTTTGTGAGGCCTACCATGCAGGTCTCCCCTGAGCTGGTCAGGGTCGGTATGAGGCCCTTTTGTCCACACAAGGCTGTCATGGATATTCCTGCACATAGAGGTTTTATTGTTTTAAAGATTCATTCCTTGGATAGATTCCCCATAATGAGTGTTATTTTAAGAAAGACCCTCAGAATCGTGTCCATTTTGTCAAATCTAAACCCAAGTACATGGTAGTTGTTGCTGCAGCCGCAGTCTGACCCACAAAACCCAAGGTTCCCTTTCAGTATTTTAAGGAACCTGATGTCCAGGGCTCAGATCTTATCTCCACCACTGACATTTGAAGCAAGGTGAAGTAGTATAGAAACTTCTCAATAAACATCAGACTCCATCATCTCAGATGGCTGTTACCAATAGAAGTTTGCAGATCCTAGACATGGAAATTGGGCAGCCTTCACCCTGCTGTTTATTAATCCCTGATGATGTGCCATATTTGGATCTACGTTTTCTGAAAAACAAAAAGGGTATATAGTCTAAAGTTGTCAGGGATCCAGAAAAAAAAAAAGAACTCCTGTCAGGGAGTATAGTTCAAATGTTGCCAGATAGAGTTAGAGTCTGAATGAAAGACTAGGTGTTAGGTTGACTCAGGGGGTTCCACTAATTCCCTCCATGGGCCCTGTCTCTGTCTATCTTGGTCAGACTCAGAGCCTGGGTTTTGTCAAGGAACCAACAACCAGCCCTTTGTCCTTGATGTCTACATATCAAGCCTGATTTATACAAAGGAAGGAAAACATACTTTACCCAGAGGTAAACAGGCAAGATCTTTTAGGATTTCTTTTTTAGGTGGAACCTAAAAAACTTCTGACAAGTCAGGACCTGACCATGCACCATGGTGAGGTGGGCAGGCTGTGTAGACCGTGTTTCTCACTTTAACATGCACACAAATCCCTGGAGACCTTATTAAAATTTAGATTCTGACTCAGGAGCTCTGAGGTGGATGCTGAGATTCAATATTTCTTTTTTTTTTTTTTTTAATTGTTGAGAGTATTGCAGATGTCCCCCATTTTTCCCACCTTGCCCCCCTCCACCCATCTATTATTTGTGTCCATGGACATATATATTCATATAAATTCTTTGATTAATTCTTCCCATCCTCCTTTCCACTTTACCTCTGAGACCTGTCGGTCTGTTCCATGCTTCCGTGCCTATGGTCCTATTCTGTTTGTCAGTTTACTTTGGTCCTTGGGTTCCACAAATAAATGAGATCATGTGGTATTTTTTTCTCTGACTGGCTTATTTCACTTAGCATAATAATCTCCAGGTCCATCTTGAAGGGTAAAAGATCCTTCTTTTTTATAGCTGCATAGTGTTCTGTTGTGTAAATGTGCCAAAGCTATTTTATCCACTCATGAGAGTCAATATTTCTAACAAGTTCCTGGATGATGCCAGCTGCGGACCAGTGAACCTCGCTTTAAATGGAAGGCTGGAGCATGCTGACCCTCTCCACCCAGTTCCCAAGAGCTAATTCATGGGCCTGACATACTCTCTCTTGGCATCCTCTCCCAAGTACCTGTTGCCTGATGGCCACCCATCTCCTAAGACCCTAAGCTCAGCACACGGATCCTCCAGCTCACTGGTAGATACAATCATCAGTGGCAGCTTTGAATCTGATATGAAAGGGAAACCTCTCTTTGCAGCTTGTTGTTCTAGAGGATTCCTGTACTGAGGTGATGGTTGCATTGGGATGTGAGGTTCAGAATCACTGCAGAAGAGTCCCAAAACACTCAGTCCAAATGTGGGAGGGCTGGGAGGTGAGGTCAGTGGGCATAGCCAACATTACTGTGCCCCCTAGGTGGCCTGCATGCAAGTACACTGTGGATGCCCAAGAAGCACCAGGTGGATCCAAACCTGCTATCCTAGCTGGGTCTTTTCTTTTCAGTGAGGAGAACTGACATGAGGCTGCAGCCTCGAGCATTGGCAAGGGGCCTCCCCTTCTCAGAGGGGTTCTGAGTGTCTGAGAGTCAGTGTCAGGACCAGGAGGTTGTCCTTGGGTTCTTTGTGAACAAGAAGCCCTGTTGGAGAAGCCTGTTACATAGCAGGGGGTTTGGTTCTTCAGGTGGGTCAGGGATGGTATGTCTGCCTAGAAGCAGCACATTGTGGAAATGGCAGGGTCATGTGTGGCTAGGGGTGGCAAGTTATCGGGGAAAAGTGCAGACAAGCCATGGATGGTCCTGGGGACCCTCTTGAAGTAGACTGAGAACAGGAGGCAACCGTCTGAGCAAGGTGACCTGGTCAGTGTGTGACTTGCAGACAAGTGTGGAGACTGAAGGCAGGAGCCAGGTCAGGCAGAAGCTGGGTGGGGTGGGGAGTGGACATGTGGGAAAAGTGATAGAGGAGGAACTTCAGAGCTGTGAGGATGAGAAGGGATATAACTGGGGGGAGCCACCTGCATCCTGGCTTCTCTGGAAGACGTGCTAGAGGCCCCCACCTCCACCCCCAAGTGAGCCCCTGGGCAAATGTGTACAGGGTGCAATTGAAGTTGGAGCTCTGGGAGTAGAAACCTTTGGGGCAGAGTAGGGTCAAATTCAGCTCTGGGACCCAGCACCTAGCCCAGGCCTGGCCTAAGCTGGGGGGGGGGGGGGGGGAAGAGTCTCAGCAGAAAATTTAATGGAGGCTTTGAGCAAGTCCCTTTGGGTCCCTGGCCTCAGTTTTCCAGCTTTAAAGTCTAGAACTGGACTTGTGAGTTTACCCTGGGGTCTGGACAGTCCCCAGTGTGGGCACAGAAAAGAAAGGACCCTTAGGACAGCCTGGCCCACATCAGAGCCTCTGGGACAGGTGTGGGGTGCTAGGCTCAGATGAACCCCGTTACATGAGCTTTTCTTTCAAGGGGCACAAGTTGGGCTTGGGCTGCCTTGCATTCAATGAGAGCAGGAAATTCAGACATCAGGCGTTTCTTCTCCCCGGAAAAGGTGGTTGGCAAATGCCCAGAGTGTGGCCCATCTGGAATTCCAGGGATCTGGCCCTTCCTCATTCAATCAACAGAATTCAGCAGCCTTCTAAACCACCTAAGACAGAGACAGAAACAGAAGCCCCCTGCTCCAGACCTTCAGTTTACAAAGCCCCTCCCCACCCAGGATCTCATCATGGCTTTCCTAGAGGCAGACAGAACAGGAATTAAGTGTCCTATCTCTGAGGAAACTGAGGCCCTCAGTGGATAAATTACTTATCCAAGGTCATACTAGTCAGGGCAGGCCTGGAATTTGAATGTTGGTTGGTCTGAGCCCCATGATGTCAGTTTGCCTCAGAACAAGGCTTGGTGGAGTGGATGTAATACCACCTGGTTCCCATGAGTAGTCATGCCATGCTCTCTTCATCTCACTATTTCAACAGAGGCCTCCTTTTGTGAGTGACCAGGGGCATACCTGATTATGTTGGTAGTCTATGGATTCACAGGAAATCTGGTGCCAGGGGCCAATTCAGGCACCCAATAGTACTTTGAGCACCTCTGTGCCTAGAACCATTCTCTGTGCTGGGAATATAGCAGTGAACAAGAACAATCTGGCCCTCATGGGGGTTCTTAGATTTTGACTTAGAATAAGAGCTAAACTTCCTTGTAGCTGCAAGGCTTGGGCAAGCAAAGAACTCACAACCCAAGTCTGTTGGCTCATCTGAAAAAGTAGACGTTGGAAGGATAGTAACACCTCCTTTACAAGGTGGTATAAGTGTGAGGATGCCTAGTGTCCCTGGCAATCACCAAATAATATTCCCCAACTTACCTCCCCACATAAACCCAGCTGACGGAACCTGGGCCCAGAAAGGTACAGTGACTCGCCCAAGGTCACATGGGTATCCCTGGCAGAGATGGGACTAACCCTTCCTGCTACTTAGGCAGTTGACTCGTTCTATGCCCAGGGGATTCCACACTAGTCTGAGGCAGAGAGATCTTAACAGGGCTCCAGGGAACAGATGGCAGTGGACAGTGTATAGACTCATCAACCAATCCCAGGCCTGCAGATGTGTCCGGGAAAGCTAGGCAGGTGGGACCATCTGTGGGTGGCCTCCTGAGCTGGCTCTGGGCTCAAAGATAAGAGAACCAGTCTTGGGTGCCACTGGCTTATTAGAAAAAAACTCTTTAATGGTTTAAGAATGTGTACACTCTGGCTCCAAGTTTCCATAAAGGCAACTTTTCCATGTTTTGAAAAATAGATCTGATAAAAAGATTTATATATTAATAAAAAGGTAACATAAAAATTCCTAAATGTAAATGGCATTCTTGGGCTGGCTAAGACCCTCCACACCCCAAACAGTCCAGGCCAGTGGTGCTCAGAGGGTCCCTAAGGCCCCACCTCTGGCAGCCCTCCTGGAGAAAACGGAATTCAATATGAATGAGCTTCCTCCAGCACCACATCTGTTGGGGCCTGTGCCTTTGGGGTCAACCTGTCCCTCTAGGAGGACAAGGAACCACCTCTCTGGCTTAGGGGTCAGGATCTATTATCTCTTGTCCACCCCAGTCCTCCTCCCGTTACTATAAAACACCAACCTCCCCCTTGTTCTCCCTCAGCTCATGTCACATCTGTCTCACCCAGACCAGACTGCCCTCCTCCAGGCCTGAGATGCCAGGACAATTCCTGGCTCTCCTTCCTCTGCCCTGTCTCCCACACCCTGGCCCCTTATCCCACCTACTTCTGTTCTTAGGTGATTTATAAACAAAGAAAGAGCCCTGACTAGTATGGCTCAGTTGGTTGGAGCATCGTCCAGTGCACTGGAAGGTCACAGATTTGATTCCCGGTCAGGGCACAAATCTAGGTTGCAGGTTCGATCTCTGGGAGGCAACTGATGACGTTTCTCTCTTACCAGTGTATCGATGTTTCTCTCTCTCTCTCTTCTTCCCTCTCTAAAAATAAAATAAATAAACAGAGATTAAACTGTTCTCTTGCCCCAGAGGCTGCTGGGAGAGGAAACAGAGGTAAGCCTTGTTTCCTGTCTCACATACTTCCTCCATTTTCTCTTACCCCATCTGACACAGAATTAAAGCCCAGAGAAGTAGAGAGGCCCCAGCCTGATGGGGACTCCATGTAGTCAATACCACACCCTAGGCCAGGCCCTGAACACCAGCATTTATGTCTGAGGTTGAGGGCCAGGAAGTATCTCTCTAGGAGCCTAAAGGAAATGGCTTCAGCCCATTGGGTGGAGGAACCTCACAGGCCAAGGGGTGGGGAAAGAACTCACTCTTGCTAGAGGGTACTATGAGCAAGAGATTAGCTTGAGGTGGGGCCAGTTCTCAGGGGTGTCCAGCTGGGTCATTTGTGGGATTATAAACAACATAAACAAAAAGGCAGGGTCAGTAAGTAGGGGGAGGTCAGGAAGGGGTTGGCCTACACAGAGGGTGCTCCTGAGGAATAAGCAGGTGATGGACAGAAGCCAGGGTGGAGCTGTGAAGGCCTTGGATGTCTGGGTCAAGTGTGGACAGCATTCTGAGTACCCTAGGATGGCAGGGCCAGGAATGACCTTTCACAACTGACACTTTGACAGCAGCAGGAGGGTCAGTTGGGGCAGTGGAGGCTAGAAGCCCAGGAACCAAGGAGATCAGTGACATGTTCAGGTGAGAGGACGGGCCTGTCAGGAGCAAAGGACAGGGCACTGTGGAGGTAGTTTCCAAGCACTGTGGTGGGGGTGGGTGGGTGAGGAGCTCAAGGTAACCCCCAATTTCAAGGCTAAACCCCTGGAGTGAGGCTGTTCCATGCATGGAGGATGGGGTAGCAGGAGATCGATTCAACCCAGTTTCAAACATCTCAGGATTGTGAAAGGGGAAGAAATGAAGAGTTGTTTCCTTGATTTCTGGGTAAACCAAGAGGTTACCAGTGAGAAGCCTCCCTGGTCTCAGGCTAGGCCCACTGTTCCTTTCTCCTTCTAAGACAAGTCTTTGCAGGGTTTCAGGCCTCCTGCCTTAAAGGTGGGGGGAATGACTCACATTCCAAAGTGACAAGTGAGCTTGTCACAGCCAGCTATCTACCTATTCTTGTGCCTACCCTGGATCCTTATGCCAAGGACATCCGTATGAAGGGGTAGAGGGGCCTCTTTCCCTAGGCTCTGCGAGGCTGGGGGAAAGAGGGGTCTAGTGGCTGCCTGTACTCTCAGCTGGAACTGGAGCTGCAAGTCAATCATAGGGATGCAGGCCCATGCCTCTACTCCAAGACCCCTTGCTGCTTCCCACCTGAAAGCAGCAGGTAAGGCTTCATGAGATATCTAGCTGGGGCCTAAGTTCAACGCCCAGCTCTGCCAAAATATTAGCCCTTAGCAGAGAGGTCATGGGGCTGGAGGACCTTGGCCCTTGGCCTCAATGGAATCCTCTTTGGGGAGCCCCTCAGTGATGGGCATTTTCTACTCTGCAGGTGGAGCCCTGACACTGCAATGGAGGGGCCAGGCAGGTACCAACTCTCCTCTCCCTGCCAGCAACTGGGCCTCATCCATCAGCAAAGCCATGGAGGATGGAAGCCAGGCAGCCTTCTTGCTCCCAGCTTCCACCCCACTCCAGCTAACAATGGGCTGATTCCCCTCAGTATAGACTGCTCCTCAGTAGCTTCTGGCCCAACCAGGCTAACATTCTTCCCCTCCAGAACCAGGCTCAGCAGTTCCATGGCTGCCTCCCTGCTTGAAAGGGAGCCACCTGCCCTGCCTGTTTCAGTCTCAGCCATTCATGCTCAACCCTATCTTTCCAGACTGCTATAGGTCTGCTGTAAAAGGTTTGGCTTCTTGTTCTGTAGCCAGGCCTGCCTGGGAAAGGGGGCAACACAGACCAAAGTGCTTGGAGTAGAAAGCAAGGGAAGTCTGAGCTGAAGTGCCACTGCCTGCATTGGGGACTAGGACTGAGCTTGGGGTGCTGCCTGGGCTCTAATAAGCTCTGGGCTGTCTCTCCATGATGTGGCCTAGCCCATGGCTCTGAGAGCAGTTTATTTTCTGAGGCCCCACACTGAGGGGCCGGAGGGCTGGACTGGGCTGACAAGGAGGAACTGGAATTGGCTTAGGAAGATCACCCAAGTCCAGTCCCTGTATCCTCTGAGTTACACTGCAGAGTATGGTGCTGCTTTGAAGACCCCCCGTGATCTCAGCCCCAACCTGCTTTCTAACCTCAGCACCCTGCACACATTGAGGCTGTTCAGGGCAGGTGGACCCATGGGGGTGAAATGGCCAGACTCAGAATTACCAGAGCCTTGTCTTTTTAGTTTGGGAAACTCTATAAGCTAGACTGGGAGCAGTGGGGGAGCTGATGCTCTAAAAATGACAGGAAAGATTTTTCAGACCTGAACTTCAAGGATGCAAAATTTTACTTTTCCCTTAAATGTCCACATTCCTATCTCATTCTCCCAACTCACAAGCTTCTGAGGCCCCAATACTGAAGAATTAACTGGTTTTGTAATCTGAGTGACAAAACTTTGGGCCCCAAGCCAGCAGACAATCCCTGCTTTGCTGTGATCCTACATTTTTGAAAATAAAAACAAGAAGCTACATGGAAAACCAGAACACTTGAGACGTCTTGCTAAGGCAGCAAGCTGGGCCCCATGGTGTCTGTGAGCTTAGAGCTGGCAGTGAAGAAACAAGGTTCCTTGCCTGGAAGGAGTTAGGGCTTCCTTGGGGTTATGCTCAGAAACCAGCCTATTGGGCTGGTTGCTCTTGCTCTCTACAGCTGCATATGGAGGCCCTGGAATGACCTGGGCACCAACCTCATCCCTAGAGAGCAGCAACCTGCTGCCATAGCTGCAGTAGACACAAAGTATGAGATGGTTAGAACCAGTATGTATAGAACAGGGGAGGCACATTCCTGGCCCCTCTCCAGCTGCAGTCCACACTGGTGAGCTTGGGCCAGTCCTGAAATGTGAAGAGCATGAGAGGGAAAGCTGCTGACTGGCAGGATGGGTCCCACACCCTACCCTGTGCCAACAGGCCTCCTACAGGAGGAATCCTGCTTCTTACTTCTTCAGGGTAGCTTTGCCATCAAGCATCCAGGCCATGGGATGAATAATTCCAGGACTTTATCCAGCTGATCTAGAATCGCTGGTGCCCTAGAGGGCCAGCTCTGGAGGGTTGGGCTTAGCAGACCAGAGAGGAGATGGGGAGGCCCCTGCCTGCCTCCCTGCCCTGCACCCCCGTCAGCACCCGCAGCCCCAGCTTTCTCCAATGTCCTTGCTATCCAGCTGGATGTGGTCTGTGCTCTTCTCACTGAGAAGAGGACCACCGTGCCTCATGACCAGCTCCGTGGCCACCCTCATGAAGGCCTCCTCCACGTTGCTTGAGTCCTTGGCAGACGTCTCAATGGCACACAGGATGTCATAGTGTTCTACCAGGCTCTGTGCTTCAGCCAGAGGAACCTCCCGGAGCTCGCCAAGGTCCGACTTGTTCCCTGTAGGGAAAGGCCAGGAGCAGCTTGGTGAGGTCAACTGGTGCCAAGGAAGCCCTGTCCTACTTGGCAGGACTAAACTGAGAAACCCAATGCCATTCAATGCCCTCTGTCAACTACTAGTTGTGCATGGTGATGTTTAAAAAAACAAAACAAAATTTTAAAAAACTTTTATTTTAAAGCTGTTATTTTATCCTTTAGTCCCTCTTTTTTTTTTTTTAACCTTTGCCAGAGGCTTGTATATTTTATTGCTTCTTTCTAAGAAATAGAAGCAGTAAAAGAATACTGTACTTTAGAGCTACAAAAAAACCTGGGTAGAAACTCCAGCTTCCTAATTCTTAGTTGTCACTTCATCTCTGAGTCTCAATTTTCCCATCTATGATGCCATCTTCAGCAGAGCAGGGGTTAAATGATAGAACAAATATGAAAACAACTGGTGCTTGGCAGGTACTCCATAAATGTGTAAGTTAAAGAAATCTCGTACTGCTAATTTTTTTTTTTTTTTGCTAAAATTCTGTTATTATGTTTATTATTTATTCTCTCCTGTTTTCCTACTACTAAGAACACAGACTACCACTTTACCTGACAGTATACCTTTGGCTTGTCCTACAGGTGTGAGATGTTTCATTACATTCTAAATCATCTAGTAAACTACTCCTTGACCCAATTTCTAAAATAATATTTTTAAGTTTCTGAGTGGTTGACTTTTGCAATGTTTATAGAGAGGACAAAAATAGATAAGTGTCTATAAATATCTAAAATTTCTTTGATAACCTTAAATGATGAAGCAACCAAGCTCAATGTGTGGAATTTATCCTAATTTCAACAAACTAAAAAGAAAAGCATGTGCTGTTTATGAGTAATTACAAATCTGAACACATATCAGCTATTTGATTTTATTCAGGAAATGTCAATATTTTTAGATGTGGAAATGGTATTGTTATATATTTTTAAGTGTTTTTTATCTTTTGATTCATGCTGGAATATTTGCAGATGAAATAGTTATAGTTAGGAATTGCCTAAAAAATAATACAAGAGAGGGAGGGGATAAGGGTGAAGATGAAATGGAACAGGAGTTGCTGAAGCTGGGTGATAGGTATCTGATGTTCATTACACTATTTTATTTTTGTATTTGTGTAAAATATTCAATAATAAAATGTTTTATTTTAAATGTTCTGGATAAATGGGAAGTATAAGGCTGGGTAAGGAAAGCTCCATTACTGCCCAGGTAGATGAGCTGTGTTGAGCACTTCCACACCCCATCCAGGCAGGCTATGTTGAACCAAGTGCAACCTTTGTCCCCCTGGAGCCACATCCAGGCCCCAAATGTATAATCTCATCTTAGAAAAATCAGCATGTCTATTGAGGTGAGGACCCCAGGAATCACACAAATGGCCCAAAGCTTCCTGAGCCCAGGTCCAGGAAGTTTGTGTAGGGGGAAAAAAAAGGAAAATGGAGGTATCAACATCCCCCTGCCACAGCAGTTCTCAAAGTGGGGTCCCTGAGCCAGCAACAGGGATGTCACAGGCGTCACCTGGGAACTTATTAGAAATGTACATTCCTGGATCTCACCCAGACCTCCTGAATTGAACATTCTGAAGGTGGTGCCCAGCATCTGTGCCTTAAGGCTTTGGAGGCATGCAAACATTTGGGGAGCCCTGCTCTGCTGAACTACAATTAGTAGAATTGAATTCAAAGGTCACGTGTTTATGCTCACATGCTGTGTGAACTGGGAGAAATTATTTCAATTCTCTGAGCCTCAGCTCCATGCTCTGACAAATAAGGAGTAGACAGATTATACGAACTAAATCCAAAGACACATGTAAAGATTTAACCAGTGTTAATCACTATGAGGATACATGCACATTGCAAAGCAAATTTTAGCTTCCTATCTTCCTTCCCCTGATTCCAATTTTGAATATAACTTTACAAGTAATTAGGAGAATCAGAATTTGTAAGATCATGGTTCAAGTTCTGGCTCCATTCCTACCTAGACAAGCTCAGCCCCTCTCTGCATTCTGGCTTGCCCTTTGTTTAAAAAGGAGAGAGAAACTGAGACAGACAAGCGGGATCGGTGGCCCTAAGGAACCCTGCCAGCCCCCATCCCATTCCCTCAGCTCACCGATCAGCAGCTGCACAATATTGGAGCCAGCATACTTCCTTACGTCCTCAATCCAATGAGGCACTGACAGGAAGGAGCTCCTCTTGGTGATGTCATAAGCAAGGATGGCCCCGTTGGCACTGCGGTAGTAGCTCTGGGTGATGGTGCGGAATCGCTCCTGGCCGGCTGTGTCCCAGATCTGCAGCTAAAGAAATAGGAAGCCTCCCATGAACCTAAGGACATGGCCGAGCACAGGAGACAGGGAGGGCAATTTCACACACCCATGCCAAAAGCGCTGGTTCCAATTGGCAGGCCACCAGCCCACACTTTGACTGGAATCACACAGAAGGTCTAGAAGGTAGACACAGAGAGAGAGAAGGCCTTTGGAGGCCTTAGAAAACAACTCAGTGGCCCAACTTTGAGAAAGACAGGAGGATGCAAAGGGAAGGTGGGAAGTCCCGTCTCTACCCTCTGGAGTCCACAGGGAAAGGTGATGAAGGAACAAAGAATGTTTTCTATACTGCAACAGGAAGCGTACTTGACCCAGGGTCCTCTGCATGCCCTCTCTCCCCTAAACACTGGGCTGTTGTAAACCAGAAGAGCTCCAGCAGCTCAGTGTGGTGAGCTGGCTCCAGGTATGCCATGATGCTGACTGTATGGATGTCCAATGCCGTCCTTTTTCTGGGATTATAAATGTACTGCTGTACCTACCATGTGTAAGTCTCCCCCAGAACTGAGGTTATCTATTTCTGCTTCAAAAACATCCAGTAAGATGCTCACAACCTGGTGGTAAAGGGGCCTGGGCTGTGGAAATGAGGGCCTAGAAGCAGTGGGAAGAGCCTTCCTGTGGGGCCTTTACTATCAACTGACCCAGCATGGCCAAAGGTAAAAAGCTTGGGGTCTTTTCCCGTTCGTGTCTAAACTTAACAAACTCCCATTAGGGCCCAATACCCAGTCCTCCTGAACACTGGCCACGGAGAAGAGGTACCCGTATATGTGGCAGGAGCTTCCCTGGCTTTCTGTAGAAGCAGCAGTCTGGCAGGACAGACACAAGATAGAGCAGGAGAGACCTGGCCAGGGCAGACCTGGGCCTACAGTGTGCTCAGGCTAGGCGGCCTTCCACATCAGGCAGAGTTCACCAGCTCTAGAACTGATAGAGACAGACTATGTACAGGCATCAGAGCAGGTAGGTACCAGGGCTCTAAGGAGCTCAGGGATTGCCTTCTCTACTCCAGATTCTCAGGGCACTCTGAGGATGAACACGAACCTTTGGTCCACACTGAGCTGTAGGTCTATCTACCCTCCTTTGCTGGTGCAAGTACTATCAGTGCCTCCCTATCTAGTTCTCAAGGTGTAGGGGGCTCCCTACTTTGTCCGGGTGGGGACAGACCTCAGAGACCTCAGATAGTTCCTGAGGGCAGGAATAATGACCCTTGCTCTGTGGAGGTGAAAACCTTTTCCCTAGGCCCCACCATGAAAAGTCGGAGCATTAACAACCTCTAGGACATAGCATGCCAAATAAAATCCTCCAGTCCTGAGACTTCCTATTTACTCCTCAGCTGTAAGAGGCTCCAAGGAAACCAGGCTCCATACTCCATAGCTGATGGTGTCTGCTAGCTCATGCATGGGGTGAAACAAAAGGAATAAACTTTGGCACTATACAAACCTGGAACCAAATGACCAAGAACTCATCTCCATATGCTAGAGTAGAGCAAATAAAACTAAAAACAGTCTGGGAGGAGGCAGCAGGAGTAGCTAGGGCCCAGTGACCTGAGCCCACAAGTGCACCTGGCACCATCGGACCAGTGGACCCCTCTCTGTCAAACAGTCCAGTGCACAGTAGCAGCACTGTCAAGGTGCCTGCTGGGAACTGAAAATGGCTGGGAGCCCAGTACCATCCCCCACAGTAGGAGCCTGATCAGAGTCAAGACATACCCCCAGCAACAGAGGTTTGGGAACAGACATCCATCCCCAGGCAACACTAGCACAGACCAGCAGCTGAGACCCATCCCCAAAAGCTTCAGCAAAGGCTTAGCAGGAGCTGAGCCCCACCGGGCAGCAATGCTCCTCAGCCACCAGTGGCAGGACCTGAGGATCCAGCGGGGCCTGTGCGATCCAGCTGCCCACGAGACCAGCAGGGAGTCAGGGCTCAAGCGGGGCCTGAGCGATCCAACTGCCTGTGGGACAGGAAGGGAGCCGGGGCTCCAGTGGGGCTCCAGCTGCTAGTGGCACCAGCAACCAATGAGGAATGTGGCTTCTGTGGGGCCCATGCGATCCAGCAGCAGCACCTACCAGGACAGACCAATACCAGCTGCCAGTAGTCAATCCTCCAGGACCCACAGCAGGCAAGAGGTGACATGCACCAGAACAGTCTAGGAGGCACAGCAGCCCTATTTGATACACACCTACCTGCCTACACATCCCAACATCCCTTACTGGATCTAGTACTACCAGATGGCTAAAATGGGTAGACAGAGAAATAACACCCAAATGAAAGAAAAGGAGGAATCACAAGAAAAAGAACTACATGAAATGGAAAAAAGCAATGTCAGATAAAGAATTCAAAGCAGAGAGTCGAGAAAATGGTGGCAAAGTGAATGGAGCGACACAGACCATCTCCCAAGACCAAACTGGATTTACAACGAAAATAAAGGCAAATCGTCAGGAAAGGGCAGCCAAAAGACATCTTGGAGGACCACTTAACCAGAAACACCCACTCAATCCTGGTAGGCTTGCGAGGACACGAGAGGGGACCGAGAGCCCAGGGTCCGCAGCGGCCTGGGCAGGGGCCAGGGAACGCAGCTGGAAGTGACTGCTACCGTCTCCCTCCCCACCCTGCATGGGCCCTTGGAACTCTGTAGCCGGCTAAACTCTCCGCTGGAGCCGCACAGACTCGCGGGCCCCAGGGAACTCGGCGGGAAGTTACTCCTACCGTTTCCCTTGCCACACTGCATGGGCCCTGGGAACTCTGTAGCCTGCTAAACTCTCCGCTGGAGCCACAGAGACTCGCGGGCCCCAGGGAATTCGGCGGGACCAGGGAACTCGGCGGGAAGTTACTCCTACCGTCTCCCTTGCCACCCTGCATGGGCCCTAGGAACTCTGTAGCCGGCTAAACTCTCAGCTGGAGCCACACAGACTCGCAGAGTCCAAGGGACTCGGCGGGACCAGAGAACGCGGCGGGAAGTTACTCCCACCGCCTCCCTTGCCACCCTGCATGGGCCCTGGAACGCTGTAGCCTGCTAAGCTCTCAGCTGGAGCCACACAGACTCCCAGAGAACAGGGGACTTGGCGGGATTCTGCTACCAGGCTGAGTCCTGCGAACTTGGCGGGATTCTGCTACCAAGGCTGAGTCCTGCGAACTCTGCGTGCTGAGCCCTCGACAGGCTCCGCGCGAACTCGCGTGGACCAGGGGACTGTGCTAGACGATACTGCCACCTCTGCAATGTCCCGCTACCGCGGCTCAGTCCTGGGGCTTCTCCTGAGTGCAAACCCCTCAGCTGGTGCCACAGCCACAGCCGCCCTTGGCTGGAAGCAGCACCCTCGGGTGAAAAATCCCAGGTGGCTCCAGGACACAGAGTCCGGACAGTGGCTAAATTGGCAACAGCCACTCACCTTGGGCTCCGGCAGAGGGAAGGCAGACTTGACTGGAACTGTGTGGGGACACTCAGGTTTTGGAAGGTGCTAAGAGCTTTTGCTGAGTGCAGCCACACAGGACTGGTCATTTTACTTTTTCTCAGGGCCCTGGGGAAAGGCAGTGGCCTCTCCCTCAGAGATTCAACCCCACCTGGTGGCCATTGAAATGCTAATTGAGGCCCATTAACAAACAACACCTGCCTCACTCTCAGGAAATCGTCATGCACTGAGCACCTGAGGGAGTTTTCCAGGCAACTCAGAAACCAAGGATCTGCAGGTGACCTCTACTAATAGACTCCAGGCAAAAAAAAGCTAGAGGATAACTACCATTCCCTGGGCTTGCAACACTAACCAGAAAGGCTAAGACTTGACAGTAGTGTTTAAAGTGGGTCCTCCCTGGTGGATCCAAACCCAGGAGAGGGAGCCACAAACAGCAGAACACCAACACCCACTGGGAAAACTTGGCAGACTCCAAAGCCCACTGTAATAACCAAAATGGTGAGAAACAGAAACAAAAGCCAAATGAAAGAACAAGAGACCTCTACAGAAGATGAAATAAATGAGGTGCAGTTAAGCAAGTTAACAGAACTAGAATTCAGAGCCATGATGTTGCGGAAGCTCAACAGCATGTGTTAAGGACATGAGCAACATGAGTAAAGACATAGAAATGTTGAAAATAAACAAGCTGGAAATGAAAAACCAACAGGAAGAAATGAAGAATGACATATCAGAAATGAAAAACACACTGCAAGGTCTAAAAAGCAGAGTAGGGGAACCTGAGGACCGGATCGGTGAGTTAGAAGACAGGCAAGAAGAAATCAACCAATCAGAAAAACAAAAGGAAAAAATGATTAAAAAAACAGGAAGAGAGCTTAAGAGAACTGTGGGACAACTGGAAACGTAAAAATATTCGCATCATAGGAGTCCCTGAAGAAGAAGAAAGTAAGCAAAGGCTAGAGAATATATTCAAAGAAATACTGACAGAAAACTTCCCTAGCTTGGTGAAGGAAGAAGGCATTCAAGTTCAAGAAGCTCAGAGAGCCCCAAGTAAGAAGAACCCAAACAGGCCCACACCAAGACACATAGTAATCAAACTGCCAAAAATTAAAGACAAAGAGAATCCTAAAAGCAGCAAGAGATAAGCAACAGGTTACCTACAAAGGAACCCCCATAAGGCTCTCAGCTGACATTTCACAAGAAACACTACAGGCCAGAAGGGAATGGCATGAAGTAATCAAGGTCATGAAAAACAAGGATATGAATCTAAGACTACTCTACCTAGCAAGGATATCATTCAAAACAGAAGGTCAAATAAAGAGCTTTTCAGACAAAAAAAAAGGCTAAGGGAATACATTAGCACCAAACCAGCACTGCAAGAAATGTTAAAAGGACTGCTGTAATTACCAGGAGAAATGGAAAGGAAAATAGAACCACACTAAACAAAAATCGCAATAAATAAATACATACCAATAATCACCTTAAATGTAAATGGCCTGAATGCTCCCATAAAAAGACACAGAGTAGCTGATTGGATAAGAAAGCATGACTCATCTATATGTGGTTTACAAGAGA